CTGTAGATCCTGGCTATACACGAGTTTCAGCGGCGGGAACGAGAGGTGGGAATACTCCCATGCATAGGAGTAGAATTCCTTTCAGTCATGTGGTCCCAATCTTTATCAATTTATTCATCAGACCTAGAGGTTCGATTCCCAGTGGAAGCAAAATTTTCTGTTCAATTTGGTTGGTGGTTAGGCTTGTTCTAATCCCTTTGACTAGCTACCACCTTACCTAAGTTTGTCGCCATAACAACAATGTTAACAGCATGTGTTCCGGCAGGTAAGATAGCCAGTTCCTCTGTGTTTGAGGATTCCGATTGAAGCTTGCTTCCACTTTCGGCTGGATCGTCACTTTTCGTGTACGATGCAGGCCAAGAGCATCCTCGTGGAAAAATCTAATCAGTTTGTTAAGTTATGCGATGTTAAATCGGCTGAAATCGTTTTCATCCGAGAAATCCAAGCCCATTTAATTTTCATTTAATCAGAACACTGACTAATCTGGTGTCAATGACCACTAGTACAATATTTGGCGGCAAAAAACGGGCGGCCATTTTGAATTTTTATCGATAGACTCGGAACGGGGCTGTTTCGGGTGGGGCCACGAGGTCAGCGAAAGCTACAGCTTACCTTTTCTAAATTATCGCTACTAACTACCTCTAGCAATGGTGTCATCAGTAGGCCTAGGATGCGCGCCGCGATAAGCCTTTATCGCGCCATTTTATCGACTTTACGCGATAAGCCCATACATTTGTCGTCTAAAATAATCGATAAGATTTTATCACGGCGCGCATCCCAGTCCGGCAGAAATAGCATTTTTGGCGACCGTGTGAGGCTCTATGATTGCGTACTTGTAAAATCATCATGATTATTATTTCAGCCACAAGATGTCCACTGCTGAACATAGGCCTTCCCTCCCCCAATGTTTCTAGATTGGTCGGTTGATTGCAGCATCCAACACCTTTCTGCAAAAGGTCATTATGTTATGACCAGCGTCTGTTCAGACTTCAGAAGGTAGTAGAGGATTTCGATTCGTGGTTGCATTGTCATATCAGAGCAGTCACAGCGCGACATTATCAAATCGATCGAAGAGTTCTCTACGAGAGATATAATGCTAAATAGAATTCATGTCATCACTTGTTGTGATTACACTTTTTTTAAATGTTTATGTAATATTGTAATCCATCAAATATTGCAAATAATTTGCTGTCATCATATCTTCGTTCATCAATGCTCTCTTCATTCTTTCACCTCGCCTGTCTTATGGCCACACCTAGATAGGTAAAAACTGAACGCAGGTCTCGTTTTTATGAAACTTTGAAGCTGTAAAAAAGTTGTTACAATTCAGAACTAGTGCCGTCTCTGTCTATCACCAGTTACATCTTAGCGTGCTACTCGACTGACCGTATAGAATTGTATTAAGATGTCTAGGTTTATGTTATTTTTGTAACTTATTTAATTAATTACTTAATGACTGTCCGTCAGTTGCGATTTTCGCCTAAACTGCTGAACCAATTTTGATAAATTGAGACAGATTAGCAGACTAGAAAGTGGTGGTTGGAATGAAGGAATGACGATAACAGACAAAACTAATTGTTATGGTCCTCTCACCACTAGACCTCGGAGGCTCTCATAACCACCACCAAACTAGGAAGCATAGTTCGTTCGTTTCAGCCAAACGACGTCCACTGCTGGACAAAGGTCTCCCCCAAGGATTTCTACAACGACCGGTCCTGCGCCGCCCGCATCCAGGCACCTCCCGCGACCTTCACTAGATCATCGGTCCACCTAGTGGGTGACCTGCTCTACGGAGCATAAGTAGGATGAATTTCTAACTAAATCAGTGGTTCTTAACCTTTAAGTCACGAGGGACCATTTTACCAAATTTCTGTCTTGTCAGGGACCACTTTATTTTTTTTATTTTCAAAATCCTATAAGGGTAGGTCGATTTCTCGTCCTCTGTGCGCCGTTTGCGTTGTGTTGACTTGACTCATCACGTCACTTCACTTGTTTATTACGATGTCTTCGTGGACCACTTGGAATGCCTCCAGGGACCACCAGTGATCCGCGGACCACCGGTTAAGAACCACTGTACTAAATTAATATATAGTGGCTTATGGTATGGCCCCTTATAATAAAAACCAATGCGTAATAATCTTGTTGATTAATATCCAAGTGCGAGCTTTATTCTTTCAATTAGTTCCGCACATTTGGATATCTAAACAGGTTATTAAATAAAATATACTTAAGTTTTTAAGAAACAGTATCGTATAAAGGTAATTTCAGAAAATTCTTTGAATCTATCGATTTCTCAATACTTTTAAAGCCTAGTATTTTAAATTCATATTGTTGTTCCAGATGTGAAACGTCATTATATGCCAATTAACAAACTTCGAAAAATTGCAGGAGATACTAAATAGTTATTTGAAACTAAATGTAATTTATGTACCTAAGTTAGGAGATATTTTCTAGCTTTTATTCAGTCTAAATTAATTGTAATATAGTAGCTATACGAGTTAACATCGGAAAAAGGTAGGTACTATGTGAAACTTCTTCCCTCAAAACCCCATTTCACAAAAAAAGTTTTATAACCGGAACCCTAAAACTGAACTTTTTGCTGCGGTCAAAATCTCTATGATGTCACCATGTGGAGGTGTAAATAGTACAGAGTAGTTGAGTGTATGACTGATTGAAACTGGTAAAAAACTGTGTACAGATGACAGCAGGTAGGCATTGAAAACTGGTACCTTGTCGTCATCATCATGCCATAGGACGTCCACTGCTCAACATGTTCAGGAGGCCAATGAGTCAGAGAATCAGTCAAATCAGGGATACTCCGAAATGCTGAATAGTTTCGGGACTCGGGTCTATCTGTCACTGTCGCTCATGCTGGCTTCTCTCTTTGCGTGAGAGAAATGGCAACATTCGAAATTTCAAATAACGTATCATTCGTATCCCCTTTTCATCAGTCGTTCCAAAGTTACCCAACAGCGACATATGCCGTCGGATTCTGTAAAAAGCCTGTTAAACCTGCAAAATATAACCACAAACGCAAAGGATTGTGAGCTTTGTGATGTGCGGGGTAAGGGTCACATTATTACACGTAATAACCGCGCAAATTGATACATCGCTTGCAATTGGTGTTTGGTACAATTTACAGGCAAAGGCAGAAATCAAAATTAATTCTTAGTTCTTCACTTTTGTAACATCTTAATTGTCAATAGATTTATCTCAGTGGCTGACTGATTCCGATAGAATAAAATATTATATTACCACTGTACTTCTACCACTAATAGACCCTACTCTTCCCGTGGAAGTCGTAAAAAGCGACTAAAGGACGAATATGCGAACATCAGGCCTTCCCAACCCGTCTGGCCAGCGTGGGGAGTGTAGGCCAAATCCTTCATTTGCCTCTGGTAGATTAGAGAGAGTCGTGCTCCTGCAGTGGAGACTAAATGACCTGATGATGTAGGATGTGTGGTAAAATATAATTTCCCGATACCGCCTCAGTCTTTTGCCATTTAGGCCCAGTTTCCACTAAAGCGGAAAGTGGAAGAGGATTCTTTCCACATCACCTCCCCGCCAAACACATCTCTCCTCTTCCCTTTGGTGGAAACCATGTCTTAGGGCCTTGTCATAATGGCGGATTTGAAGCGTTTTCAAAGCGGAGCGGTTCCGCGGCGGACACGAGACGGAGACGTTGAGAATCCGCGACGTGTTTCCGCGTCGATGTCGCAGCTCCGCTTTGAAAACGCTTGCAATCCGCCAGTGTGGTAGCTCACTTATACAGCATTTTCTCTTACACTTGTGCCACGCGCAAATTTTTTGATACACAAAACGAGTTTCGGTAACAAACTCAATTTGGCTTGAGAGTTTTAATGTGATTGTTACCAGTAGTGCTCTTACGGGCCGTTTACCGTGTAAGGTGTTGCCAGTACGGGTTTTGTATCAAGATAAACTGATGGACCTTAAGTAGTTGGAATAGGTACTGTTTTGGAATAAAAAAGTGAAGTCGGATATTGCTGTCGACTGCTTTAAAATATGTAGCAAGTTGTGAAGGCGAAGAAAGGTGTTTTATTGCAAAGTAACATTTTGGAATCTTTTGCAGCTGCTTTATTGACAAAATTTTATGAAATTGATGTGTTCAATGTTGTATTTTTATGCATTTTTTTTAACCCTTAATAAGACACCACCATAATGATATTTTGTACTTTAATCCAAACATATCGAGCGTTAACAAGACGGGCGCCAGTTAGAACGAGCAATTTTGATAAATCTTAAAGTTAAAAAATTACAATACTTTTTAAGTCTGTCAAAACAAGACTCCCATTGCATAGCAAAGACAGTAAATTGTTTGTTTCAACTTTTATACGAGTCTCAATTTCATTAGATCAGTATAGATAGATCGTTTCATCCACGAAGACGCGCCCCACCAATTTTTGGTCTCGGTCGCGCGGGGTGCGGGGAGTTTGATCCAAGCAATCCGAGCGTAATTTTTATAGTGCGTGTGCACTCATGGATAATTTAGCGTGTACCGATAACACTCAAACATTCGCGGAAGAATGGTGGGGCTAGGGTCAGTGGCGGCGTAGCATGGGTTGGCACCCGGGGCGATCAGTAATAAGGCACTCCCTGGTACCCCTAGGATTTAGGGGGTTACCTACCGATTCGAAGATTGAAAGACAATCGCACCCCCTCCCCCCGTATCATGACATAGACCGCAGGCTTGCCATGCAGATGTGCCAGTGAGTACTAATCTGCGCGACTTGTGTCACCCCCTGATGCTTGGCACCCGGGGCGGACCGCCCCCACCGCCCCCCCTTACGCCGCTACTGGCTAGGGTTGCCAGATGGCCGGACATGTTTGGCTTTTTACGGTAAAATGTCCGGCCAACTGAAGCAGAAGAGTCCGGCTTTGGACCTGGCAACCCTAGGTGGGGCGCGTCTTCGTGGATGAAACGATAATGGAATACGAAAGCTAAAAACCTTATATTTATACATATTTTCTTTTGTCTCCAGGTTCGCGGTGGGAGCACCGGCGCTCCGCCCCCCGCGGCGCCCGCGCTTGAAGAGAAAAGGTCCCCGCTGCAGCCGCAGCAGCAGGGAAGGGCGCAGCCCCCGCCAGGTTGGTATTTCACTGTTAAACTAATTGTGTGGTTAGACCACCTCCTTCTAACCAGTGACGGCGTAAGGAAGAGGGGGGGGCTATTATGCTACGCCGCCGCTGCTTTAAACCCAGAGGTCCCGGGTTCGTTTCACAATGGGCCAAAATTTTCTGTTCGGGCATGTTTTAAGGCTTCCTGGCTAGCTACCACCACTACCGCCAATTTGTTCGAGGAATTGGCTGTTACCAAATTGGTGCAATATAGTGCGTACCTCCGTACATGCAGGTCACTGTCTCCTAGTGACGTCTAGGTAGGGGGTACCATAGAGCGAGTCGTTAGCTTCACATTTTACTACAGCGCAACATGATTGTGTCTTGTTCAGCTCCATCCATAGAGAATCCAATCTCGCATGTATTTTTGTGATCGCTGTATTTGCGGGATCGATGATTTTCAATCCCGCGAGATCTCAGAATTTGCGTTCCCTGCGGTCTGTGGTACAGAAAAATGGTTCGGGATCTCAATATTTGGAGATCTTGGAATAACGAAATTTAATGCTCTGCTATGAAGGAACCTACTCAATTATTCTGTAATGTTATGCGCTATACCTGTAGCATAAACAATTGTTTACGTTTGTTTGTTTTTGCAGAGCCTGTGGCTGCGCCCGCGCCGAAGCCAGCCGTCGTGAAACCGAAGACGTCCAAAATTGTACAGAAGGTTAGTTCCTACTATTATTTTAACCAACTACAAAGAAAAAATTATCAATCCGCACTAGCGCACTAGTATTGGATTTGAAATACTGAACCACCTAAATTCGGAGTACGAACTACTCTGCAAAAGAAAAAGTTTCTTCTACTCTTCAAACTTCCAACTGAGTTGGCTTGGCAGGTACAGTTAACTTAACCTAAAGTGGCCAAAAAGTTCGAAACATGTCTGTTGTGTTGTCAACTTTGGGGGTCACGAACTATTTGACGCTGACTGTACTGCATTTTTGTTAGAATAGATTATCTTGTTTAATGAAGTCTATATTAAGTACATCTCAAAGATCGTACTTGTAATCTTTCTATTTTAATAACAATGTCGGTTTTAGTGAGAGGTGCGATATTTTAGGCGCCAGGTGGCATACTGGCGATGGCGCCAAAATTCCATCCGCCATCTTAAAATTTAAAACTAATGCGGCTTCAAAATGGCACGGTAATACTATCTATACAGTATTCCAACTCGGCCATATTTTTGAAACAAATGTCAACAGCCGCGCGGAACGTCACCGTATGACAACATGCGATAGGGCTGCCCACCTGCAGACACGATTTTCATTACATCTGCCTACTTAGAATTTCTATCTAGTTTTGTAAATTTATTTTGTGTTTGTAATTTTTATTTTATTTTAACAAACAAAATACTTCTTGAATGAAATAGGATAAAAATACATTTGTTGTTTTGTGATTAGTAGATTTAATTAAAAAAATATATTTGTGTTAAGATTTAGTAACAAATTTTATAAATTTGGCGTACAAAATGCTTGGTCATTATACAGGGTGTTAGGTAAATGGGTTTATAAGCCGACACTAGCCCATGTTAACATTGTGCATATAAATGGTATGGTGAAGTCAGAAAATTGATATCATCATTTTAATCATTTTAATTTTCATACAAATCTGATTTTATAAATTTTATTTTGTACTAGCGGCCGCCCACGACTTCGTACGCGTGGATCCCGTTTTACTCCCTTCATCTATCTTACGCGGTTTAGATTTTTTCATACAAATGTTTTTTCCCGCTAACTCCCGTTCCCGTGGGAATTTTGCAATATCCTGTTGTAACTAAGCTTTAAGTTTACTAAGGTACCTACATGCCATATTTCAAGCGTCTAACTTAAGCGGTTTAGATTTTTCATACAAAAGGATTTTCACGCTAATTCCCGTTCCCGTGGGAATTCCTAAGTATGCTATAACCTGCCCAGGAGTATGAAGAATAATTGTACCAAGTTTCGTTAAAATCTGTCGAGTAGTTTTTGTTTCTATAAGGAACATACCGACGGACAGACAGACAGACAGACAAAAATTTTACTGATTGCATTTTTGGCATCAGTATCGATCACTTATCACCCCCTGATAGTTATTTTGAACATATATTTCATGTACAGAATTGACCTCTCTACAGATTTATTATAACTAAGTATAGATGAAAATTAAAAAAATTAAAATGATGATATCACTGACCTCACCATACCATTTAATGTTAACATGGACTAGTTTCGGCTTATAAACCCAGTACTTGTAATTATTTTTATTAAAAAAGAGAGCGCTTACTGATTAAAAAACAACACATCGTTCGTTTATTACTGTGGCACATTCGCGACACCCCCGACTTTTGCATGTCGAGCGCATACCGAGATTTGAATTTCGAAGGAAAGCTCGCGTTTCGTCCGTTTATATGAAGTTACAATACTGTATGATAGTATTACCGTGAAAATGGCAATGTTTAGTGATGCGACACATCTGCTGAAAGTTCGGCTATAACGGGAGTAAAAAGTCGAATGTGCAGACAATACAGCTTATCAAGCTTAAACACTGGAATCTTCTATGAAGTCGTAATAAGTTTTTTTCTAGTTCTTTTTTGCAATGAAAATGTAACGTCTGATGTGCTTTTAATTACCCTGAAACAGCCTGAAATACATCGTATCGTAACCGTAAGTCAATCAATACATACAGTAATTATTTGACTGGCGTCACTTTAAATGACTACTTTACATTAAACATTTTATTTATTTTATTTTTACACCAATATCACATAAAATGTGTGTACTCTTAATCCTTTGTCCCATAAAATATTCCCATAGTTTGGATCCTATTTCCATATCATAAGCTCCAGCTATTTTTTTTAATATTCAATGCCTGTTATAAGACTTAAAACAGTCCTACTCCTTACCCACAGTCAAGTACAGTCAACAGGACCCTACATTTTTGTACCAAAATAGAGCTTGTTACATCTGAATAAGGTTCAGTGTTTATCTCAAAGTGCTGTTGTGTGTACTTTGATAAAAATGCAAATACGTTAATGTTCAATAATGGGCTGCTCCAGTACGCCGCATCAATAAATATGGTAATACATAATAATGCCGTTTACCAGTAAGCGTAGCTCTTTTGAGCGTAATAATAACGTATTATTATGCAATTAAAGATGTACGCGTTAATTATTTTTAATTGTCTGATATCAGAAATACATCCAATTATAAAAACCAGCAACTACTTTTTGTTTGTATGGAACCAATAAAGAAATCTCAAAACATAGATCAGTTATTCCTCATACAAACAGCTGTTCCTAACCAAACTGAGAACAAAATTACACAATTTTTTTACATTAGCGTGTCCCATCTGAGTATCGAACCCAGAACTGTGTGTGAGTCGAAAGAGTCCATACAATTGCTCGGCTGTCTCGGCAATTCGACAGCACATTAGACTTTTTGTTGTAAAAAATAGCTCTTATACCAATTACATAAAAGGCCACATATTTAGCTTTTTTTATTATGCATAACAAGGCAGGTAGGTATTTGACCGCAATCGCACCTGGTGTTAAGTGGGATGCAGTCTAGGAAGGGAAGGGGTATCTTTGTTCAACAATTACGTCGAAACTAATAGACGTAGACTAATAAATTTCCATTCGTTTTGTAGAATAGCTCAAATACTAATAATACAATGCAAATAAAACATACCTTAACGACCTGGTTTTTCTTGTGTTGGAAAATAACTGAAAAAGAAGTGAAAAAAGTCATGTTTTTTTCTAATTAAATCCATTCTTACTCCCTTAAAATGTATGAAACTTGTATCTGTTTTCTACTTCTGCTAATAGATAATTTTATTGGCTATCGCATGATATAAAATTTTTGCTTATTAGTGTTAAGCTACCTACGCTTTCATTTGTTTTTGAAGGAAGAGGTGAAAACTAAAAATTAAAAACTTAAATCCTCGTAATTTTGCGAGAAATGGGTCAAGCCCCAAATTTGTAGTATTTTCATCGATAAAATTGTCCATAGATTACGCCCTTAAAGTTTGATCACTACAAGCCCGGACACACTGTATAATCCGCTGTGTACTTTTAATGTGACGTGCATAACTATAGATTAGCAATTTCCTTGTATTTGTTTTTATTTGATACGAGAAACAAAGTGGTGTAAGCAGGATGGATCGAATCGATTTTGTTATTTAATTATATTATTTATTGCTTACAATAATATGAACAACATTTTTTCTCGGTCGCTATTTTGCAATATTTCATTTTTGTGCAAAAAACTGCTTGCATTTTTTATTTATTGTGTTCTAAGAATCGTGTTATGTAACCTTCAACTTTGCACTGAATGTGCTGCACATAAAAAACTGTGGCATCTATGTGGTTGTAAGAAGATGCAATTTTGCAATAAAACTTGTGTGTGTCAACAAAATGTTATTCTCGCATTATTGAAAAAGTAATCTTAAGAAACACCAGTAAAGTCTAAAATATGCTGGCCACTATATCCCCATCGCCCTATTATCAAGGTTAATAAAAATTTCTTCAACTACGCAGCCATTTCGTCGAGTGTCTGCTGTGATGGGAGCATATAATCGACTAGGTAGATCGGCTAACTTTATCGATTTTCTTAAAAAATTTATGTAATTAATCTGGGTATTTCGCCGATAAGATTATCGAATTATTTCAATTCATAACAACGTGATTATCATTTTGCGCACGTGTACAATTTATTTCAAATGCTAATATCGACTTGATAGAGAATAAATAAAGTTATAACTAAATGTAAGGCAGCATTACAGTTAGCTGTAAGGAATTAGTAATGTATTCCCATAGTGTATTACGAGACTATTCCCACCTCTCGTTCCCACCACTGCAACTCCTGTGTAGCCAGGATCTACAGCTTGACCGCCATAAAAACCCTACCAATGAAGGTCAAGGTTGTCCCGGGGGAAAGTTAAACTGTCATTGGACCGCAACGAAATTAATCAGAAGAACATAAGAGGAGTTCGAAATTAAGGTTCGACTTCCCATAGTGTATGTCGATTTTTTTCCATTCGAAACGCAATTCGCATTTTCGATTCGACACGCGTAGTTGTCGCTAACCGCACCACAACACTAGCTCCCCAGTGCCCCTCCAATACGCGTCGCGGGCGGCCGCGCGTTCGCGCAAAAACAAATTCCGAATACAAATTCAAATTTTAAATTGCGTTCTATTTCCAAAATAGAGTCGACAGTGTCTTGTGTTTGTTAACGACGTTCCATTACACGCATACTTTTTAAGTGTAACCTTAATTTTATATTTTTTTACAAAAATTTTAACACGTAAACAGCGTTTATCGCAATGTGCAGTTTTTATTGCTGGAATTGGTTCTGGTGACATGGATTGTGTTCGGTTGCAGTTGCAATATTAATATGAGTTTTTTTATTTTTAATTATTTTCGTAAGGTTTCTTAATTGGCAGTTGCTTTGTGTTTAATGAAGTGTGTTATTGGACGGTTGGATATGATGTAGTACCTAGCACTGGATGAAATGGTGCGTTGTTTTTTACTAAACATACCTACTAGAATTAGTTTTAAAGTGAGTATTATTCTATAGCATGGTGACCGCTATGCGTTGTTTACTGCGCGGCAACTGCGTTGGTTCCCAAGGTCATTAGTTGATTATGCCACACGGACTGTTTACAAATTCACCATTACACCATAGCTTTT